CTGATGACTGATGCTAAGAATGATGCTTCTGCTGCTGATGAGGTTGCTGCTGCTGACGACTACGACGATGACGATGACGGTGACGAATCCGATGCTGATGCCGATGATGATGCTGATGATGATGACGATGCTGATGAACGTGCTGATGGTGATGATGATGCTGATGATGATGATGATGATGATGATGATGCTGATGATGACGGTGATGATGGTGAGGACGATGCTGATGATGACGATGATGCTGATGCTGCTGATGATGAGGATTGGGACGGTGATGATGATGATGATGATGATGATGATGCTGATGATGATGATGATGATGATGATGATGATGATGATGATTATGATGCTGATGCTGATGATGTTGTTGATTAATGTGATGAAGGGGATGCTGTTAAAGTTGATGATGCTGGTGATGGTGATTGTGGTGGTAGTGGTGGTCATGCTGATGCTGATGCTGATGACGCTGCTGCTGATGACGCTGCTGCTGATGATGATGTTTATGATGGTTCTCATGGTTATGCTGATGGTGATGTTGACCATACTGAAAATGAGCATGATGATGAAGATGATGGTGATGATGCTGATTATGATGCGGATGAGGATGAGGGAGGATGACGATGATGATGATCATGATGGTGATGATGATGATGATGATGATGATGATGGTGACGATGATGATGATGATGATGATGATGATGATGATGATGATGATGGTGGTGGTGATGGTGGTGATGAGGATGATTCTGATGATGCTACGGCTGCTGATGATGATGATGATGATGATGCTTATCTTGATGCTGATGCTGCTGATGCTGCTGCTGATGATGATGATGTTGATGATGATGATGATGATGTTGATGATGATGATTATCATGTTGTTGATGATGATGGTGGTGGTGGCTGATGGCAATTATGATGATGGTGGTGGTGGTGATGATGATGATGATGATGATGATGATGCTGATTGTCATGTTTATGTCTATGGTTATGATAATGGAGAAGTTGAGGAGGAGTGGCATGAACGCAGCCGACGAGCCGTCTTGGCACAAGCTTGCCCTCTCCCTTTTCGGGCCCCCCGCCAGTGGGCAGGTCGGGGCTGGCGGCGGCCGCGCTCGGACCCGGACACCCCCGGACGTCCGATGGATGTTTTTTTTGTTCATGCCTGGTGCTCTTCTTCCTCTTCTTCCTCTGACTCTTCTTCTCCTTTTCCTCGTCTCCTTCTCCTTCTCCTTCTTCTCCATCTCCTCGTCTCCTTCTGCTTCTGCTCTTCGTCCTCTTCCTCGTCTCCACCTCCTTCTCCCTCCTTCTTCTTTCTGCTTCGTCTGGTGACTCATCCTCTTTTTCTCTTCTGCTTCCTCCTCGTCGTTCCCTTCCCTCCGATCTCGGCCTCCGGGGCCCTCTTTTGGGGAGTCCGGGGCCATCAAGAGTTCGAGTAGGGGATCGACTGCAGAATTGATTTGCCCCATAAATAACTTGTACTGTCGAATCCACTGGCAATTCGTAGAGCTTTCGCAGATCAACGAATGGTTGGCGTGTTTTTCCCCACACGCTTCGTGGGGTTCTGGTTTTCTTCCCTGCCGCGCCGCACCCGCGACACTCACACCTCACACCTTCCTCTCCGTCTCTCTCTCACACACCTCACTCTTCCCCTCCTCCTCACAGCACTGCTCAGCACAGCTCAGCTCAGCTCAGCTCAGCTCAGCTCAGCTCAGCACGGCACAGCTGAGCACAGCGCAGCTCAGCTCAACTCAGCACAGCACAGCACAGCACAGCACAGCACTGCACAGCACGGCACAGCACAGCACAGCTCACCGCACAGCAGCACAGCACAGCACAGCACAGCATAGCACACAGGGCATTCCTTCGACGCCACAGGGGGTGCGCTGGGGGTGGGGGCCCTATGCGTTGTAGGCTCCCAGGGCGTGGACGGCGTGGCATTTCCTCGACGCCATAGGGGGTGCGCTGAAGGTGGGGGCCCTATGCGTTGCAGGCTCCCAGGGCGTGGCAGGCGTGGCATTTCCTCGACGCCACAGGGGGTGCGCTCTGGGGGTGGGGGCCCTATGCGTTGTAGGCTCCCAGGGCGTGCAGGCGTGGCGTTTTCTCGGCACCACAGGGGGTGCGCACGGGGTGGTCCCTGAGCGCGGCCGCTATCCGTGACTGTCGTCCAGGGCACAGCAGGCGTGGCGTTTTCTTGACACCATAGGGGGTGCGCACGGGGTGGTCCCTGAGCGCGGCCGCTATCCGTGACGGTCGTCCAGGGCGCAGCAGGCGTGGCGTTTTCTCGACACCACAGGGGGTGCGCACGGGGTGGTCCCTGAGCGCGGCCGCTATCCGTGACGGTCGTCCTTGCGGTATCGGCGGGGCAACGGCCACCAACATCATTCTCTCATGCTTCACTTCAGCTATCTTTACCCCAGCCATAATATAAGTATGTGGGGTTCCTCGGTAGCGTAATTGTTGAAGAGTCGACGTGAAAATCAATTCTGGGGTAACTCGATTCTGTAGTCCATCCCCCAGTCGGAGAGTGGACCCCGGACGGGGGGCTGCCCCCCCTTTGGAGGGGGCCACGGCCTCCGGGGATCCCCGCGGGCGGAGCCGCTCAGGCTGCCTGGGCCAGGCCCAGGCCCCGGGCCTTCCCGGGAGGCCTCCCGCAGAACACGGCAGCGGCGGAGGAGGAGGTGGAGGAGGAGGAGCGGGAGGAGGAGGGGAGGGAGGGGATGAGAGGAGGAGGAGGCAGGGAGGGAGGAGGAGGGAGAGGAGGAGGAGGAGGGAGGGGGAGGAGAGAGGAGGAGGTGGGAGGAGGGAGGAGGGAGGAGGAGGAGGAGGAGGAGGAGGAGGAGGAGGGAGGAGGAGGAGGAGGGGGGCTGGCTCCTCGGAGTTCGGCGTAATTATCGGGGGGCCCGACTCGGGCCCAGGAGGCGACCCGCGCCGCGAGATCCGCACGAGGCTCGGGGACCCTCTTGGGCCCGCCGATCGGACCTTGTCGACCCTCCCTCGGGGCGTTCCAGAGAGCGCCTTGCCTTTTTCTGGATCTCCTCTCCCCCTCCCCCCCCCTCCTCCTCCTCCTCCCCCCTCCTCCTCCTCCCCACTTCCTCCTCCTCCTCCTCCTCCTCCTCCTCCTTCCTCCTCCTTCTGGGATCTCCTCCTCCCCCCCCCCTCCTCGGGGGAGGAGGAGAGAGGGCTCCTGATCCTCCCCGAGGACAGGAGGGGAGGAGGAGGAGGGGCCTTCCCCTTCCTCCTCTCCCCCTCCTCCTCCTCCTCCTCCTCCTCCTCCTCCTCCTCCTTCCCCTCCTATCCTCCTCCTCGGCGGAAGAGCGGCGGAGGGGCGGCGGACGTAACTTTCACGCCCCCCGAAGAGACGACAACATTTGTCGGTGCAGGGCTTCCGGAATCCGCCCTGTCGCCTCTACCCCGACCCGAGATCGGCCCAAGTTCGGTCCGAGTGCGACCCGGGTCGACGGACGCTCGGCGCAGCGTCGGCGCGCGAGCCAGAGCGAGCGGCTCCGGGAAGGCCCCCCAGGGCGAGCATCCAGCGCCCCCCGGGCACCGGAGGAGTCGGGGCCGTGTCTCGATGATCCTCAGGACGTGTGTTGGCCCAATGTGTGTTAACCCCGTTCGGCCTGCGTCGGCCATCGTTGCGCCACGTGCTTCGTATTGAGGGGCTTCGATGGGCCAGCACACGTTGGCGCCAGCGCACGTTCTGAGGATCAGCGAGCCGGAGGGTTCCACAGGTTTTTTTGGGGGGGAGGGGGTTTTCCAAGAGGGGTCCCCTGGGGGCTTCGCACCCCCTGTTTCGACGAGGTTCCGAGGCACCTGGGGGGCTCTCTGGAAAGCCCCCTCCCCCCCAAGACCCCCTTTGGAACCCTCCGGCCGAGTGTCCGAGGCGAGGCCCGCCGGGCACCAGCTCGGCAGAGATGCTCATGGACTCGGCAGCCTCCCTGGCCGCCTACCAGCTCGAGCCGAGCTGCCCTCGCCCGCGCGAGGCCGGCGAGGCGGTCCCTGGCGACCGCGGCGTCCCGAGCCGGGCCAGCACCGACCTGGCGAGCGGGCTGGCCTGGAGGCGGGGCGCGACGAGACCTGTACACCGACTGGGGGATGGACTACAGAATGGAGTTACCCCAGAATTGATTTCCACGTCGACTCTTCCACAAACACACGTCAGCCATCCGTTGATCTGCGAAAGTTCTACGACTTGCCCGCGGATCCGACAATGACATTTCATTATGGGGCAAGTCAGATCTGTAGTCGATCCCCTACTCGAATACAGTGGGGGCGCGCAGCAAGAGCCCAGCTGCTTTTCGCCAGGGTGCCCTGGGCTTCTGCGCTCCGCGCGCTGCGCGGTGGCATCCGGCGGCCGTCAGAGAGGCTGCTGCGTGCAGGGTGCTCCGGGGTTCCCCTCAGGGGTACACATTGTTCATGTTTAATTCTTCGAGAGTTCTTAGATTTTTCGGGGGGCCAAGATCCGATCATTTCTAATTGTTCTATCCTGGGCCTCTTCCTGGCCACTAGGGGGCCAGGAACAATTAGAAACGAGCAGAATTAGAAATGAGCACGATTAGGAATGCACGACGTGTGCCTCGCGCGCGGGCTTTCAGGGTTGGGTTTCTTGCGATGGTTTCTGGCGCCCGCGCCCGCACTGTACGTGTCCACTGCCCCCTGCCAGGCGTTCCAGGAATCCCCGCTCCTGGCCTGGCTTGAGTAGGGTCGAGGGTCAGAGAGCGCCTTCCTCTGCAGGGCCACCAAACATGGGACGTCAAGGTGGTCAAACTCCTCGCCAGTTGAGCCGACGAAGATGTGCAAAGTCCAACCGTTCGCTTATGTCCAGAATTTTGGCTTGACGCTGGGTGTGGTGCATCAGTTGCAGGTTGACCGAACAGGTTGGTTGCGCCCCCTGACGTCCGTTTGGGGTATTCTGCAGACCTGACCCCCCAGCCCTACTCAAGGCTTGTCCAGGGAGGCATGTACACAGTTCCTGGGCCCAGGTTTGGCCTCGTCAGGGGCAGTATGGACATGTGTCAGAGCCCCGAATCACCAAGGGTAACTCGGGTCAGGGCTGAATCGGGTTCGTTTTTCGGGAATCCGAGCCCGATTTGCCCCGGGCCCGAGTTGCCCTGGATAACTCGGGCGTCCAGAGCCCCGAAGCATCGGAGGCAGCTCGGGTCGGGGCTGACTCGGTGGCTCGCTGTTCGGGCATCCGAGCCCGAGTTGCCCCAGGCCCGAGGTGCCCCGGACGACTCGGGCGCCCAAGCGTGCAGAGAGCTCGTCGCCCCGTGGAGGGGCCTCGAGAACGAGGAGCCCGCCCCCTGGTCCAAGGCGGCGCGCACGGACTGGGACGACGAGGCGGCGGCGGGGCCTGCGCCCTCGGGCTCGCCGTACCTCGAGCTGCTGCGGCAGAACATGTGCCCCGAGGATGGCGTCGGGCGTGTCCCTCCACAGGAGGCATCTTCAGGAGTAGTCAAGACACAGTCTGGGGGCGATGTCCCGGGCATTTCGGGATAATGTTTGGAGAATTCTTTGAGCACTGTTGGACTTTTCGTCCAGAGTCCGCCTGTAAAAACTCGGAGGTGCGCGCGGATTTCTTGGACCCCCCCTTCCTGGCGCGCGCAGCGCGCCAGTGGCGGCGCCGGAGGCGCCGCCACGCCGCCAGGGGCTCCAGCGCCGATCCGGGAGATCCGCGCGGACCTTCGAGTTCTTCTGTTCATGCCATTCTTCGTTCCCCTGCTAAAGAGTTCGAGCTCGCGAGGAGTCGAGCCCCTTCTTCGTCCCCCCATCTTGCCGCGAGGAGTCGAGCTCGCGCCTGCTCAAGTTCGGGTCCGCTCCCCGGGGCGCCCCGGGCGCCCTGCCGCGCCCCGCCGCGCTGCCGGACGGAGGCCTGCAGCCCCGGCGCGCCTTCCAGCAGCAGCCGTTCCGGGTGCTGCACGCGCCAGGCCTGCCGGACGACTACTACGCGAGCCTCCTCGACTTCTCGCACACGGACACCCTCGCGGTGGGCCTCGGCAGCTGCATCGACCTGTGGAGCCTGAGGACCAGCTCCGCGTCCAGGCTGTGCGAGCTGCACCCCGAGGACGGCGTCGCCTCGGTGAAGTGGGGGGACCCAGGCGCCCCCCACCTCGCCGTGGGGATGCAGAGCGGCGAGGTGAAGATCTGGGACGCGTCCCGCAGGCAGGAGGTGCTCCACCGGGCATGCTGAAACTCTGCGCAGACGCCCCTCCCCCTCCTCCTCCTCCTCCTCCTCCTCCTCCTCCTTCTCCTCCTCCTCCTCCTCCTCCTCCTCCTCCTCCCACCTTCCTCCTCCTCCTCCTCCTCTCCTCCTCCTCCCCCTCCTCCTCCCCCTCCTCCTCCTCCTCCTCCTCCCTCCTCCTCCTCTCCTCCTCCTCCTCTTCCCTCCTCCTCTTCCTCGTCCTCCTCCTCCTCCTCCTCCTCTCCTCCTCCTCCTCCTCCCATCCTCCTACTCCTCCTCCCTCCTCCTCCTCCTCCTCCTCCTCCTCCCTCCTCCTCCTCTCCTCCTCCTCTCCTCCTCCTCCTCCTCCTCCTTCCTCCTCCTCCTCCTCCTCCTCCCCCCTCCTCCTCCTCCTCCTCCTCCTCCTCCTCCTCCTCTCCTCCTCCTCCTCCTCCTCCTCCTCCTCCTCCTCCTCCTCCTCAGGGGAGGTTGGCGGTGTGCGAATCACCGCTGCGGGTCAGCGACTCTTCGCCCACCGCCGCGCTCCCGGGAGCGGCGCCCGGGCGCGGGGCGCTCGGAACTCTCGTGGGGCGCAGGTGCGCAGCATGGCCAGGCACCGCGGCCGCGTGGGCGCGCTTGCCTGGAGCGGGAGCACCAAATCATCGTAACGCCAACATCGCAGAGCGGATGTCGTCCGGAAAGCAGTGGGGGAGGCCCAGATTGTCCTAGAGAATTTCGTTCCGGATTTCGAAGTGAATTTCGTGCGGACTGTTTGGGGCCAGGAATGAAGACTTCAAAACATTGAAGTGAAATTCACTTCGTTTTTCGCTCGCCGTTCTGGGGGTTTTGCATTGACAGGAATCCAAGCAAAAAGCCGCTGCAGCACGTCTGCAATGTCGGTGCAGTGACAAATCATGGCATACATTGGCGGCGCTCAGAAAGGGATAGGGGGAGGGGGGAAGGCTTCTCAGAAGGTGGCTGCTTCTTACTTAGAAGGCGCCGGCCTTACAGCTACAGAGAAGGCCCTCGCTTCCTAAGAAGCAGGGGTGCTTCTAAGAAGCCTGCCCCCCTGCCCCTACCCCCCCTCTGCGCGCCGCCAAATACACATGGATTCGCGGAGGTCCGCGCGGATTTCCTGGATCGGCGCTGGACCTCCCTCCCCGGCGCGCGGAGGCGCCGCCAGGGTGCGCAAGCGCCGATCCGAAAAATCTGCGCGGGCCTCCAGAAGTTCACATGCTTACAGTCGGACCGAGGTATAAGATCGAGGTCGGTTCGGGGAGGGCACCCGAAAGTTCTTCGTGCTTGTTGGATGCTCTTGTGCACCCAGGGGGGTGGGC